ATTTTTCTCCTTCTCTAATGTCACTTTGCTCCAACGAACGAAACGAATAAGAAACGAAAACGAAACGAACGTTCGAACTACCGCTACCGAATTTCGGAAATGGAAATTCGTATTCGTTTGCATTCGTTATGTCTGTAATTCGGAATTCGGATACATCCGAATGTCCGAATTTCTGAAAATTCGTCCGAATTTCGATTCGGAACTAAACGAATCGCACATGTCTACTAATGGGGTAATATTACGAGGGCAGCAGGATATATGGATGTAACTGTGAACTTGAAGGTAGCAGAAATGCTTCACCTGTAGGATTTTAACCAATGTTTGCGAAGATATTGAAAGGCTTTACTACTATCCAGAGACTGTAGACATAGCTGATGCCTTTCATTGATTAAAGTGAAATGCTGTAGGGTTCTCAACAGGTGGAAAGCTGTGAGAACAATTAATTCTGAAGCAGAGGCGTAACTAGAACCTTCAGGGCCCCGGTGCAAGAAACCATGAAGCACAAGAATAGGACAGGAGAGGTGGAAGGAGCTGGCAGAATGGCAGAGTTTAGACTGGGATAATGCATGAGTGTATTGGTGGTTCTGAGGAGTCAGTGAATGAGGCCAGTGAGGAAAAGGTGGTACAGGTGGCTGCACTGTCACCATTAGATAAGGTTTATAGCATCAACGCCACCACCAGTGGTGTGCCCAGTTCAACATCCTTTCCAGCAACCAGAACATTGACCCAGATAAATACATGTTGCATTCCTTCCCATGCTTATAGGACCATGTGTCCGTGGACATGTGTACCCTGCTTATTACAGCGTGGTCCAACGACACAGACACGTTACATTCCACATGCTGGTGAAGGGCAGGGATGGGTTTCTGGTCAAAATAATGGCAGATGGGTACCTGCCCCTATGGTGTAGCACAGGCCATAAACTTGTGGAAGAGGGCTGATTCTATAAGCTGGAATGGGAACAGGTGCAAAGCTAGCAGTTATACTAAGCTGGCATGAGGACGCTGGTTATGGGGGTGGTTTAGGGGCAGAAATGACACCTGCCTTCAGAAAGATGCTGCTGAAGATGGCAGGGTGGGTGTAGGAGAATTCTGCAGAGGTTCAAGCCTTCAGTTGACCCTTCACAGCATGGCCCCATTACTCTTCATTGCTTGACATGGTATATTCTGGGCCACTGGAAGCTTTTCTGAGACTTCCTTCCATCACTAGAGGCCACAGATGTTTCAACAGATGCAGCAGGAAAATATTGTCTAGAGGGGGAGATGCACAAAGTGAGAAACAAGGAGATGTGTGGGGCTTTTACTGCTGACTTCATTGAGGTGCGGCTCCCTCCAAACTCTGGTGTGCAGTCATATGTTTTATTATGCATGTGGTACCTAATGGCTGGTACTTTTACCACGGCTGGCATGATGCAAGCAGAGGCTGAAGACTAAAATGGTGCTGTCTGCAGTAGATGCGTTAAAAAAGTCCACACTGCAAAGCTCTGTGGACCAGCCCTGGGGATAGCAAGGGTAAAAATGTAAAAAGTGAAAAAGTCAAATATACATCCAAAATATGTGACACCAGAAAATGGTGTCACTGACATGGTCTGTTCTGTAAAACCATATACAGCTTAAAGGCATTTCCCAAGCATGTAATTTAAAGGATTGGCGTTTTTTCCATGTCATCCTTGAAGTTGCATTAAAAGGACCTTCTCCTTGCTGTACAGTATTTTTTAAATGTGTTTATTGCTTTGTAAAATATTCTCCATGGCAGTGCCCAGCTCCCCATGTCCTTATTTTGACAATAGCTTGCCTATTAACCTTGAAAATGTCCATAATTTAGTATCAAGATTTGCTCCCCCCATAGACTTCAGTGGAATTTGCTACAAAGTTTGGGTTTTTCAAATTTGAAATACGATTCAACAAAACCCCTTCAAATTGAACCCGGGCAGATTTGTATATCCCTAGTGCATATTTTTAGTTTTAACATATTTAAACTGAGTGAATAAAAGACTTACAATTGCAATATTACACAACCTCAAATCCAAAAAAGTTGGGACGCTGTCTAAAATCTACATAAAAACATCATGCAATGATATACAAATCTCATAAACCCGTATTTTATTCAAAATAGAAAACAGAAAACATAACATTTTTAAATTGGGAAAATGTACCATTTTAAGAGAAAAAAAAAAGTAATTTTGAAATTGATGGCAGCAACGTGTTAGAAATTGGGATTGTAGTAATACTGTACTTGAAGGCTAATTAGATAGGACATGATTGTACAGTGCTTGTTTAGTTGGATTCAGCAATTTTTGTTAAACCATTTAGGGTGAGGAGAGGCAGGAAGACTTTTTTAAGTGGAAGTCAGTGACACCAAGGCTGCTTTTGCATTTTACTCTATGCTCTCTAGAGGGGGTATTCAGGTGATTTGCATTGCACACAGAACAATAGTAGTGAACATATGAGGACCACACAATCACAGTTATGATACAAGTGGATATTATATCCCTACCTTTCTGCATTACAGCAAATATTTTAAAACATAAGGGTAATTTCTCCAAGATACACAGTCAATAGACTGTGAAGAGTAGTGTCCATTTACTTATGGACATACTGTACACAAATTAACCACACACCAGGATGCAAGAAAACACTCTCCAACTCCTTCACCAGCTCCTGTTGGTACAGTTTTGTGATATAAAGTAGATGTTGAGAGTCCTGATATCTGGAGGTTGCTGAATGAAGTGACGTGGTGATTTTAAGGGTAAGGGAGCAGAGATTCGTCACCTGTTCATCCAATATATTATTGTTATTATTATACAGGATTTATGTAGCGCCAACAGTTTGTGTAGCGCTTCACAATATAAGGAAGACACTACAATCACAATACAATTGAAGACAAGATGGTAAGGAGGGCCCTGCCCGTAAGGGGTTACAATCTAAAAGGGAGGGGCCAGTGATATATGAGGAGGTATGTATGAGGACAAACTATAAGATCTGCTTACCAAGCATATGAAGATCTGTTACCATGGTTATTGAGCTAATTATCTCCCTCTTGGTTCCATCTCTGGACCTGTCCCTTCAAACAATGATCTATACCTGTTCTTTTGGCTGTACAATCTAACAGAGTTTTGAAAGCTGACCTATGAATACAATTTTCACTGTACATACATTAATAGGGCACATGTCAACAATATTAAATTTTTTTATTTACATACATATACAGATTTTAAACATTTATATTACATATCTATGTTTTTTTGGTTGTTATTTTTTTTTTTGTATAGCCAACACTGGCAATGGCATAGCAACAGGCCCCAGTTAATCGACAAAACCCAACATTAGCCATAACATTTGTTTTAAAGCAAAACTCCAGGAAAACAAAAGTTAATCTATGGGTGTGGAACCCACACTGCTACGATTAACTTCTGTTTTCCCTGGAATTTTGTTTTACAACAATTGTATGGAGGATGATGGGTTTTAGGAGATATATGTCAAATTTAGCTAGCAGCATGCACATTTTAAAGGATGCCTTTTCTTTCATATGTCATGGTGCACAGGAAAGCCCTGTGTGGGCAGGCAGAAATCCTACACCTAGCTAGCAAATCTGAACTGTTGATTCCAGAAAATAAGTAATAGGATGGCAGGATGAATTGTGAGAGGTTATATTTACAAACTTGAATGATTTGCCTTTTGACCTTTCATTTTAGTTATGTATAAAGTAGGAAAAATTTAAACCCATCTGTGTATTTTCCTGTCTCATTGACATACCTTACAACTGTCCCTCATTCAGAAGGACTGTCCCTCATTTGGAACCAAATCCCTCTGTTCCTCCTTTCTCATTAGTTTTCCCTCTTTTTAGTCTAATGTACAGATATTTATGAAAATGTACTATTTAACTACCAAATGTATTATTGTGCACTAAAACCTTTATCTTATCTATTAATTATCTTGTTTACTATTTTGAAAAGCCAGTTTAAAGGAAAAGTAATGGTGAAAACAAAACCATTCTAGGTTTACCTAATCACATAACCGGGGGTGTGGCATTGCCTAACTACATCATCCTGGTAGGGAGTGTCCCTCTTTTTCATGTCAGAAAGTTGGGATATATGCATTGAGACTTCCCTTCACGTCCTGTCTCAGAGAAGCAACATAAAGTAAGAGCAAATCTCTTAAAAAAAGAGGTGTTCTCTCTATTCGTGTTTACTTTCTGTAGAAGGGAGGGTGAATCTGCTCAGCAATACAAACCTAATAGAGGTTCTAACCCTTTCCAAATAATCCATAAAAAAAACAACTGCATTAAAAAAAATTTGGTTTAAGAAATACTTAGATCTGTTAAACATTAATTTTATATTATTATAATATTTAAAGCTGAACTCTTGGTAGATATGGGTTGAAACTGATTATTACAGCAAAAGCGGTTGTTTTTTTTTATTTTACCTTTTATTGGACTATTTTCTTTTTTGTGTAATTATTGGCTAAAGTTCTGCTTTAACAATTTGCAACTTGCAAAAAATCTGTATTCACTATTTACAGGAACAAAGTTGTGTACTAACGTAACAAATGTTCACAACTGTTTTAGATCACACATCTGCTTTGTATAATGTAATAAATCCAGCTGATAAAAAAAAGAGTCATTGTAGAAGCTCCACAGATCATTTTAGCACTATCAAAGGTCAGATCAGAGAATGTTTAAGTAACTTTAACTCTATAAATATTCAGGTGAAAAGTAGATACAAGATTGGGCAAGGTGTTATATAGATGGAAGGTGAAAAAAACAGAGAGCCCTTCCTTATTTGTCCTATAAGACTAGGGAGCCTGATCCGACTCCCCTAGACACCAGTAGATTTAGTGAAGGAGCTAATTGTCAGCCTATATTACAATAAGTGCATTGTGTGATATAGTATCTTCATTCATATTATACATTCATTAAGATATCCTCTCATGAATATAAAGTAGGAAAAAAATTAAAAACGAAGGATGACAATAAACAAGTTTAGTCTCGTAATTCCTTGGATCAAAGATGATACCGGAACAACACACTGATAGGATTCCTCTGAAAGCCATGAAATTGTGATGGATAGATTACTGTTCAGTGATCAGGTAAAATATACACATCATCATCTTCTTTGTTTATACCGGTGCCACCATGATCACAATAGTTGTAATATACTCCTTGCGTGTTGCTGTAAATTGGTTGATTTCCGTCATTGACGTCACTCTCTAAATAGATATCTTCTTCCATGGTTTGTTTACTGTAGGCGATAAAAAAAATGAATAGAACAAAAATTATAGAAGCGCTACTACCCACAATATTGGATACTAAATTACTTTTTAAACAGTTTATGAATCAATTCAAATGTGATACATGAAAAGCATATGTGTAGAACTAAGGAAGGGTGACTCACTGTTTGATGGACATGGTGGGTCTCTGCTAATGAAGAATAGACGATATTAGCGGCTTCCAGTCACGGTCGGCTCCTGTGACTAGAGTCCAGGGAGATTTATAGCTGGCTGGAGGTGGCATCATGTGGCCATGTCTGAGAACGGGCTGAGCACTAGTTATATTGGTGCTGTCGGGTGCCGTGAGGAAACAGCTGGCCAGGCTGTCCTGTCCTGTCGGGTGTGAAAATAGGAGGCAAAAGAAGCCGCTCTGCGGCGGTTCTGTAACTGTCAGCAAACAGTGAGTGATGGATGAACTTAGGAGCGAGCACGGGACTGGTCGGTAAAACAATCCATCTCGCTAGGTGGTGGGAGGTGTCAAACTGCAGTCGGCTACACGTTTTCGAGGCTATGCCTCTTTTTCGAGCCCGGAGTAAGATAGCAAGAACAGGCGGGACTTTGAGGGGTTTAAAAAGTGACAGATGGGTGGAGTTTAAAATCGTGTCAGGCTACTATTGGTGGACATTTTTGGAAGGGGCAGGTCTAACCTTATAGTGTGCATAGTAGTCGCTTGTTCAGAAACTAAAATAAATAATAATAAAAAGATTGGATACATTTACAGATAGAAATGGACTTTTATGATAATGGCTATTTAAAAACAGATGCCGTATGTTTGCATGTGATGTAGTGAATAGGTTAATATGATTATATTACTGCACTTATCTCAGGGAATACTATTCTGTTCTCTTGAGCAGGTGGGAAGTGCAAAAGGGTATCTCTCTGTAAATATGGTCTACATTGTAACTTTAGTAGGTCACACTGTTTGTTTGTTTGAAATGCCGGCATAAAGAATAAAACAATGAACCTTGGTCTATAAAAATGTTAAAACACTTTTTTGAATGTTTAAAAATGATGTGAGACTTTTTGAAAAATATTATAACAATGTATAAGTAATTTTTAAAAACATATATATAATAAATATATTTATGTGCACATATTATGATATATGAACTATGAACGAGAACGTACGCTTGTAGGAGCTCATATACCGCCACTCTCAGGATTATGGGTTACATACTGGAATTCATATGATGGTCTGGATTTCCATTTCTTCATTTAGACCCTGGGTACTAATGTATCCAATTTATAATTCCAAAAAGTCTCCCTGCTGCACAGAAGTCGGAAACGTTCGGAGGGTGCTATATGGGTGGGTATGTGTTCAATCGCGAACACATGAAGAGCATGGATGTTCTTATGGTGAAGTGTCGGGGGACACTATGATCGACATCACCTTTATCGATAAATCTTCTATGTTCGCCGATACTTTTGCGTAAAGGACGCATAGTACGTCCAACATAGACCAAGCCGCAGGGGCATGTTAGGCCATATATCACATGATCGTGTGCGCAAGCGATAAATTGCCTGGTGTTAAAGACATTGTTGTGATGGTCACTAAACGTTGTCTGTCCATGTTGGATGAACTGACACGTGAGACACTTTGGTTTTTTACACCGAAATGTCCCAACCCTATTGTCAAACAGAAAAATGTTTGGGCCTATTTTGGATTGTTTGGATAGCTTACTGGCCGTAACTAAATTCTTAACGTTTTTGTTCTTCTTACAGTTAATGTATGGTCTAGGTGGTAAGAGAGGACCTAGTTTAGGATCTTTTAATAAGCTATGCCAGTTGTTCTGGATAACCTTCTGGATGGCTTTATGGCTGTTAAAAGTGGTGATGAACCTAACTTTGTTGTCCTCTCTCTGCGGTTGGTCTTTGTTGGCGGTTTTGGGTAAGGCTGGTTCTAGATACATAGAGAATGCTTCTGTAATGAGATGTGCAGGATATTCTTTCTCTTTAAATTTATTTGAAAGAAGGAGACTGGAGGCAGTATAATCAGATTTATCGGTACAATTCCTTTGGAGGTCACATGCTAAATGCCACATGGTCTGCAGCTGCAACACTGTGTTTCAGCCTCCATTCACATATAGCGTTTGCGGTTACTGAGTGGTATTCCATGTGGAAGACAGCACAGCGCGCAAACGCTAAAATCGTTACAACTGTATGGATTCCGCTTGTTTGTGGCTATTACTATAGCTGTGAACGTGCGTAATCCGCCATAAAACCGCGCTTCTACTATTTTGCAAGACACGTGGTTTCGTACTGCACCACTCCACCACAAACATTTGAACAATGTACATGAAATTGCATTGTTTTTTATCTTTACAGCAGTTACGAATACGTGTGGACAACTGCTCCTGTGGGAATGGAGCCCTATGTATGTTTTTAATAGTTAGTGCTTTAAAGCCTTAATTTCAAAAAATAAATACAAAGTTCACAGCTCTAGTGTATACCCTTGCCCTAAAAGATAACTAAATTCAAGAACATAAATATTGCAGCTTACTGGTTCTAAGATATACTGGATGCAGTACTTTTGCTTTTTAGGCTTAGAACACTTTCTGCGAGTATAGAAAAACCCTTGCCAGAAATGCAGTGCTCTTGTCACTTTCAGTGAGATAAATTGGAAACAAAAAACCCATAAAAACCTTATCTTCTGTAAACTGCTTGAATGTGATGAGACTTTTATTACGAGGGTCAATCAAAAAGTAATGCCTTCATGTCTGTTATTTGAGATCTACTGTATTAGAGTGATTGTGAATGTTCATGTACCATGTTATAGAGGTGTCCTTACCCTACTAACGTATGCTATTTTTTTTTCAGATTGAGTGACTAGATCCATGGATCTGTGGCTAAAACAATGAGCTGTAATTTAATTTCTGTCAAAAGAGGCTTGTGCACCTATGGAAATCTATAATCGGCTACAGAATGTTTATGCGGACATTAGCAATGTGCGGCGTTGGGTAAGGAGGTTTCAAGAAGCTGATTATGGATTTCCTATTTTCCGATTATGGATTTCCAAAATCCGGATTGGTTCACGCACTGCCGTTCGCCCCTATTATCATAGGGGCCGAACAGCAGTGAGTGAATAGCCGAATGCCGACGATGTATCTCAGATGTAGCGAGCAGAATAGAAAAAACTTAAACAAATGAAAAAAAAAGTTTAAAAATGATTTAAAGAAATGTAAAAAATTAAATTAAAATTAAAAAAAGGTAAGAAAATAATAAAAAATGTTTTAACCACTTGCTGACCAGGTGTTTACACCCCGTTCCTGTCCAGGCCATTTTTCAGTATTCAGCGCTGCGGTACTTTGACTGACATTTATTTCGTCATGCAATGCTGTACTGAAATGAATTTTATATCATTTTTTGGGGACAGATAGAGCTTTCTTTTGGTGGTATTTAATCACCACTGCGATTTTAATTTTTTACTATATAATGAAAAAAAGTACCAAAAGTTTCGGGAAAAAAAACTGTTTTCCCTACGTTATGTTATAAAACAATTATTATTACCCAAATTTTTGGCAAAAAGACGGGGTCACGTGGGGTAATAGGCACCAAACATGTCAAGCTTTAAAATTGCGTGCGCCCGTGAACTCGCAAAAGCTACCATGCCCAAAATTGGCCAAAGGTGACGCTTTAAAAGCTTTTACCGCTCATCAGTTTAGTGTCATCAGTGATTGATGGCCCTAGAATTATTGCTACCACTGCGACGTTCGCGGCGATATGTAACATGTGCGGCGTAATGGATGCAATCGTCGTTTTCCGCACGTAGGCGCCTTTGACGCATGTTTGCATGTGTATGTGGGGGGCGGGGGACTTTAAATTTTTATTTTTATTACCTTTATATGTGACTTTTCATTTTTTCATATTTTTTTTAACTAATCATTTTAAACCTTTTTTTTTTTCCACTTAACTTTATTGTTATCACATAGGGGACTAACAAGCCCCCTTTGTGATAGCCAATTTTCAGTGACATGTCCTCTTTATGGAGACATCATGGGTCTTTAAGATCGCCAGTCGGGATCGCCAGCAGCGGCTGCAACGGAGGGGAGGCGCACACCCGCACACATATTACAAGTGATCGGGTGTGCCCACCCGCATTCAAGAAGCCGCTGTCCAGCCGTTTAATTACAACAGCCGGACAGCAGGTGGTTAAAGAAAAAGAAAAAAAAAACAACGTGTGGTCCCCCTCCCATACAATAACCTAATAGGGACTCCTATTAAAAAAAAAAAAAATTAACAAATGCGTGGAGTTCCCACCCAAAAATCATACCAGGCCTTAAGGTCTGGTAGGAATTTTAGGAGGGACCCCAAGTTAAAAATAAAAAAAAGTGCTCAGGGTTGTAAGTATTGTGAATAACCCGTACAGCAGCCCTTCGGTTCGACTGAACCAAAAGGCTGCGGTGGCCGTAGAGAGCAGAAGGATCAGCCGAAGCTACGGCTGGATCCTTCGGCTCATTAGTGAATAACACTCTAAGTGTACTAAAAGCTGAAAGAAGATTATAGGCTTGTTTTTAAAAAAAAAAAAAAGGTTGTTGTAGTCACATGAGCTGACTATTTATTTGTAAACGCAGTGTAATAAAATCTGCTTTTTCTATATAACAAAGGAGGCCTTCATTGACTAAATTCCTTGCAATTTAATCCTGGAAGCATAGTACCTATGCTTCAGTCAAACCGAAGGGCTGCTGTACGGGTTATTCACAATAGCCTGTACAGCAGCCGAAGGAAGCCGAGCCGAAGGCATATGCTTCGGCTCGACTGAGCCAAAGTGACAGCCAAAGCGTGGAGAAAGATCGTCCGGAACTGACCGATCTCCACGCAAATGACAGCTAGACTCGCTCTGCCCAGTTGTGACAGATCAGCGCCCCCAAATGATGTCACAGCCGGCTCCGCCCAGTTGTTATTCATTGTCTGGGACCTGCTAGAAGACTCTGGCAGGTGGCGGCCAATAGGTAACAGTTGGGCGCAGCTAGCCGTCACTTCCAGCTCTGCCCAATTGTTTTTCTTTTGCCGGCATCTTTGCCTGCGTTTTTTAAAATTATTTTTAATTTTCTTTTTTTTTTTTCCTTTTCTTTAAACTATTTTAATTCTTTTTTAGTTTTCTTATTTATTTACATTTTTTTAATTATTTTTCAACTCTTTTTTTCATTCATTTCACTTTTTTCTATTCTGATCGGTACCTTGGAGGTACCGAGCAGAATACCCGAGCTGAATGCCGCTCTGCAGCATTCGGCTATTCACTTACTGCTGTTGGGCCCCTATGAGAATAGGGGCGAATGGCAGCGAGTGAGCTGCCGGAGCTTCGGCTCAGCCGATCCAGATGTTGGATCGGCTGAGTCGAAGTCCCACTGCACTTCGGCTCTAGCACTTCGGCAGAGCATGTTCGGCTGACCGAAGGCAGTTGATGTACGACTGATTCAACTGAAATCAGCCGTACTGAGGCGGGGTGAATAGCCGAACATAGGCTGGGTTATTCACTCGGCTGCCTTCGGCAGCTTTGTGAATAACCCCCTTTTGAGGTTTTTTTTCACTAAAATACCTGACTGTCTCTTTCTACTGTCAGACTGACTAAACTACTTAGTTATCAATATAAAATGAACACATATCCTCTACCAGCAAATGTCCTCATTAGAAGATTTCCCTCTATTCCTTTTCTGATGGCAATTCCACATTTTTGGATTTTCCCTCACTTACATTCCTGGTGACATTGTTAATCAGGACAATTAGAGTGAAACTCTCTAACAAGGACACAAACAGCAATAACAACCTAAAAATTATTCTAACCTCTTAGCACTCCAAATGTGGGAATCAACTGTTATCTCTAAGCCTGATGAAGGGGACCCTGCGAGGCCCCCGAAAGCGCTTGCCAATGAGATACAGCTATTGGCAATAAAATATTTTGCTTTTTCAACTTATGGTGTGCTGGTGACATTTTTCTATTGCACACCTGAGATCTGACATTGAAAAATACATCCTCTGCTTGGAGACAGGTATATTCCCCACAGGCCTCCTTTTCCTGGTTGCCTGATATCCCTAATGGGACGTCCAACAACCACACCTTTTGTATTTGTTTTTCCTACTATCACCTACCAAAATGGAATTTCACTATACCAAATAAACTATTTTCTTCTCCCCCTTTTCCTGGAGTTTTTTCCCTTATCAAGGCTCTCCTTTAATCACTTAAGTCCCAGACACTGTTTTAAAACTGTGCTGGGATAGTGGCTTTTCGTCCCAGAACCATTTTAAAATGGTGGCTGGTCTCAACTGCTCCTGTAGGCTGGAACAGACAGCCACGGTTCAGCGCTAAGTCCAGGAGCTGAAATGATCAGCTCCTTGCCTTACGATTCTGCTACAGCTCAATCTATACAAGCTCACTGTAGAAATGAATGTGAACAGAATGCTTCTGTTTACATCAGGACTGTAGTGACATACTATGAGTACAAGAAATGTGGCATTTGTGTACAGTGTATACGGTAAGTATACCCCGGCTGTATTCAACCGTGCCATTTTAAGCCAAGCTTACTTTTCAGCACAATGGGGTCAAGCAAATTTGCCACCGCACCCATAGTAACTTTTCCCTTTTCACTGTATCCAAATGTGAGGAGTAGCCATGTTGTTGGTTCAGAGGGACATCCAAGTACCTCTTGGTAGACAGTCACAGTGCTTCTATATATGTGAATGGTAACCATAGGGTTCTCTTTTACCAGTTTGAGCATGGTTAAAAAATCCTCCACAGTTCTTTGTAGAATGCATGCTCCTAGGATGAGTAGCAGAAATGATCAATTTCTATATGCAAATGTTGGCAATTGGAAGACACAGTGAAATCTGATGATTGAAACATTTGGACCAGGGACAGCAAGGCTGGAGAGAGAAGGGCTCAAAGATGCTGGATGAACTCCAGGTAAAAATGAGCCAGGCTTTATATGATGCAGCTTCTAATGCACACAGTGAGAAGCTCACAGTGTGCAGTGAAATCGGAGTGAGCAATTTCAGTTATATTCAGCATCACCTATTTTATACTACTCCAATCTGGATGTTAGTTGCTAGACAATGCTAAATATCCACAATTCTTACCTTGTGGCTCCTTGTCTGCTTTGTTCCTTTGAATATCCATGAGGATTTGTCTTGTTTGTTTCAAAGTGACCAACAAATACATTTTCATAGTCTTGCCTCAGACCTTGGTTTGGGGTTGATGTCATAACATCCCTATTTCTTGTCGTGTAGCGTGGTTGCCCATGAGAAGGGGACTGCTCTGTAGCAGACTTGTTTCCCAAATTAGTTGAATTGTTATTCTTCTTCCAGAGGTACAGAGCCACCCTGCCAACTATAAGCCCTAAGGCTACTATAGGCAGCACAATGCATAGAGCCAACAAGATTTGTGAACCACAGTTGTTTGCAAAGAAATCATCAACTTTTTTCAAACTTGATGTAAAGGACGATGTTGTGCATGTCACAGAAAGAAGTGAGTGGTCTGTTGAGTTGTTATTAAGGTGCTGCATTATACTGCTTGCCACATCGCATGTGCAGTCTACACTTAAGTTAAGGAGACTAGAGTGAAAAACACTTGACGGAACTTTAGTTAGCTGATTTCCTTCAAGTTGTATCACTCTTACTTTGGAAGAATTGCTTAGGAAGTTTTCTGGCAATTGTTGCAGATTATTGTTCCCGAGGTAAATTTCTTCTAAAGCATTTGCATTCGATAGGAATTTTTCTGGGAGCATTATAAGTCTATTATGAGACAAATCTAGTCTCTTAAGATGCCAATAATTTGAAGTCGGTTCAATAGCCTTAATGCTATTGTTTTTCAAGCAGACAATTTCACAACTTTCAAAATCTGACCACTGAAGACGTTCACTGGTCTTATTTATTTGTGGCATTTCACATTTGGTACTACCACACGCTACATTAGCATCACTAAGCGTGAATAAAAAGCTGATCACCATTATCGATATCCACATCTTTCTTCTGTAGAGGAGAAAGAAAATAAGAATTTAAGAGTAAAATAAAAATAGACAAATGCTAACAAATACAAAGTGTAATTAACAAAACAATCATACATTTTTAAGTAAAAAAAGGCAACTATATAGTGAACATATTAGTTATATTTGCTTTAGTAAAAAATATATCGAAACTCCCAGTCAGTGGAACCTCCAACTACATTTAGGACACAACAGATTTTCTTAGAAAAAACTGAATACAATTGGCCCAATATCTGATGGATGTGGAATGACTAAGCATGAACACTCCCCACAGTGATGGAGAATGTTTCATTTACATGAACAAAAAAACCTTTCTGCAGTAACAGTTACTTGTTGGTAAAGAACTACACTTGTAGGTAATGAGAACTACAATGGGACTACAGTTTGTTCTACATTACTCAAATGTCTTTATAGTGGGACTTATCCCCCTGTAGCACCAATCCTATGAAATACTTTTCTATATTTGTGATATCCTGGTTATCTGGACTCACTTTTATGATGTATCAATAGTCATACATGGTCAGGTGCAGATCACAAGGACTACAAAAACTTTCACCCCATGATAAACCTGGAATTTAACTACTCAAAAAATAAAATTAGCTTTCTGTAAACAAATATGTATATCAAATTCAGCACAGTTACATTTGTTTACCACAAACCCTCAAACAGATGAGCCTACCTCAGAAGTGACAGCTTTCACACCATCATATACAGTCAGGCAAAACAGCGCAATCAAATCCATTCTGATACTGAATTATTAGATGGTCTTTGGTTAAACTCAATGGATATATGTATTTTTGTAACCCTGCTGAACATTAGGGAGGAGTTTATTCTACATGGCTACAGCATTAGGGCTACAGACCTTCAGATCAATAAGGCAACAATCATTCCCAAAGAGAGCCTTTAGGGCTCCTTTACACGTATGTCGAGAATTATTGATTGACCCTAGGTGATGAAAGACCCTATTCAATTAATCGGAATTCTTTTACCCTTATTCTACTTTTATCAAATTTTTCTCTTTCCTATCAATATTAATATTAGTGATTAATGTTGTGATTTACTAATTGCGCGTGTGTACATATGCACACATATGTATTCATCCCATTGTAATTATCAGTGTTATCAGTAGTAACCTTTTTTGGGTTGGATTGGTCATGGGTTCCTTTATACCCCTGGATCATGTAAATTGCGTCACATACTAGTACATGAAGAAATTTGATAAACACATTTTCTTTGTGCGATATGTGATTTTTATTACTTTTATTATTATTATGTATGTGGACGTGAGTATATATTTGTATCCAATTTGTATGTGTATTTTCATATATACACATACATATTTTTTTATTTAATTTTTTATATATGCATTATTATGGTTTTATATGTATAGTTAATTATTAGATGTATATATATGTATATACTATTATTAATATATAATGGAAAATGGTTAGTGACCATTATCCATCTATAGTTGAGATTGATGCAATATAAATTGATTTATGTGTGTGTACACATGTTTTATGCAGATGTCTTCAAATGCCTTTGGATTGTTTGAATCTTAAAAATGTAAATATCTTTAATTTATTGGCCACCCCAAGCTAAGCAATGGACGGGTTTTTAAATTAGCCACCATATTTTGGATCAAGCCGCATCGGCTAAACAAGAGCAACAAAAGCTGAGACTGGATTTAAGTCCTCTGATTGGCAGAAAGTTCGTGACTGGGCGAACATCGGATTAAAAAGTCTGTTAAAAAGTGACCAGGTTTCTGAGGAAGGGGGCGTGCCCCAGAAACGCGTTAACCCGGCCACTCGCGTCTGTTGGAAGAGGGCCCCATTGTGAGCTGATTAGACTGCGGTGTGGCTTTGAATAAGTTGCAAGACCTTCAGAAATAGTAACCATTTGGATGCGTTTGTCCTTACTGTGTTTGTGAGTACATTTCCTCCTTTTTAATTAATTCTAAATAAACGATACTTCACATGGGGTGGGCACTCTTTTGTTGTTTTTCTTACCAGATATGAAGGTTCCCTGCCTTGTGGAGCTGCCCCCATTGTGATCAGGTGAAACTGATTGAAAAGAAAGTCTGTTTGTGATCCATTGCACTGGGAGTGAATTTGACTTGACTCCATACATTATGATGTATGGTGTAGGACCACACACTTAGTCAGGTGCGACTGACAGTGGAGAATATCCTTAACTGCTTTATCCTCTGTATGACATTTAGTGTAGTTTAGTTGGGTTATTAGCCTTAGATATTTAAGTAAAATGCTCTATCTCCTCTTACAAGTTGACAACGTCTCCAACCTGCTACTGCTGGTCCTCTACGTTGTGCCCATGCATCCCTAATTGTTTAGGAGTTCAGCCTCTGGTTAAAAAGATATTACTTTGTGCCACAGTTTATGTAAAAAAAAAACAACAAAACTTATCAAGACAGAAAGCTTAGAAAATGACCTGGTTAACATTTTTCTCTCATGCAAATCATGCAGTGTGAAGGTTGGGTAACCACATGTCATTTTCACATTTAATAAATGCATTCTCACTAACCTTTTTTAACACTTTTTTAATATCACCTTTTGTTCACAGTCACTGTATGCTCTTATATTGGTTTACATGTGGAATTAACAGCTGTATTCACACTAAGGCTACATTCACACTATGCGAAGCATGCTCTTCTCAACTTCACTCCAGCTGTTTATCTCCATAAGGTGCCCCAGAAGGCTGGGATACTTTTTTCCCTGTGCTGTGTTTTGGGATTTCACCTAAGCTACACACTTGTGAGTGTATGTATTTGATTTTATTCATAAACTTCAATTAAAGTCTAATTGTCTACACTATGCTGATGTGCTTCTGTACTTTTGGATCTTGAGAGTGCTCTCCCTCTATGTTATTCAGGAGTTGCAAGGCTAGACATTGTGGCATGATTAGGCTACATTTACATTTTCTTGCACAACTGGATACATAATATACTACCTACGCGCTACTTGGCAACATGATTTGGGAGTTTATATTCACACTATGTGATTTGGGATTTCTGTGGCTAAAACCTACAAGTTCCTGTGGCAGGAATCCCAAATCTTCTATTTAGTTGCGGCTGCTGTCACCCGTTCAAGTTAATGACTGGGTGACAGCGGCCGCATCTGCAAGCATCGGTCCACATGTAATGTGGATGTGATTGTATGTATGTGATGTGATTACATGCAGTTTGGAACAGATCACTGTTCCTGGATGCATGTTAAATGCATCCAATCAGTGGCGGAACTACCGCCGGTGCAGCCGGTGCTCCGGCACCGGGGCCTTAGCCTGGGGGGGCCCAGCACAGTCCCTGTGCATAGATGGTGGGACTTGCCGGCCGCCGCATCGGTATCCAGCAGCCGGCGGGCCCCCAGTCTCTGCGCCGGGAGTGTCGGATCATCTGTTCATCTGACACTCCCGGTGCAGAGATGGGGGCCAACAATCCCTGTGCATAGATGGTGGGACTTGCCGGCCGCCGGATCGGTATCCAGCAGCCCGGCGAGCCCCCAGTCTCTGCGCCGGGAGTGTCGGATCATCCGTTCATCTGACACTCCCGGCGCAGAGATGGGGGGCCCGCCGGCCGCTGATCCGGTGCTATCCGGCGGCCGGCAAGTCCCCCCATCTATGCACAGGGACTGTGCTGGGCCCCCCCAGGCTGAGGCCGGTGCGAGGCCTCACGCTTCCTGGGGCCTCGCGTCCGCCAGACTCGCCCACGGTCGCCACTGCAATGATCAACATGTGATTGGAGAAGGAGGGTCTGCAGAGATGTGATTGGAGAAGCAGGGGTTGCGGAGATGTGATTGGAGAAGGAGGGGCTGCGGAGATGTGATTGGAGAAGGGGGGCTGCAGAGATGTGATTGGAGAAGGGGGGACTGAGGACATGCGATTGGAGAATCGGGTCTTTAGATATGTGATTGGAGAAGGAGGGGCGGCTGCAGAGATGGGAAGGGACCATGATTTGAGAGGGCTGAGGAAAGGTGATGGGAGGTGCAGGAAATATGTGATGGAAGGGGTGCTGGAGTTGGGGGAGAGGTGCAGGGGGGGCCATGGTGATGGGAGAGTCCAGTGGGCATATGAAGATAGTGGAAAGTATGTAACCCAGTGCAGAGGTCAGCGGTCAGTATGTAACCTAGTGCAGAGGTCAGCGGTTAGTATGTAACCTAATGCAGAGGTCAGTGGTCAGTATGTAACCCAGTGCAGAGGTCAGCGTTCAGTATGTAACGCAGTGCAGAAGTCAATGGTCAGTATGTTACGCAGTGCAGAGGTCAGGGGTCAGTATGTAACGCAGTGCAGAGGTCAATGGTCAGTATGTTACGCAGTGCAGCAGTCAGCATGTAACACAGTGCAGAGGTCAGTATGTAACGCAGTGCAGAGGTTAGTATGTAACGCATTGCAGCGATTAGTATGTAACGCAGTGCAGAGGCCAGCGGTAAGTATGTAACGCAGTGCAGAGGCCAGCGGTCAGTATGTAACCCAGTGCAGAGGTCAGCATGTAACACAGTGCAGCGGTCAGTATGTAACGCAGTGCAGAGGTTAGTATGTAACGCATTGCAGCGATTAGTATGTAACGCAGTGCAGGAGCCAGCGGTCAGTATGTAACGCAGTGCAGAGGCCACCGGTGAGTATGCAACCCAGTGCAGAGGTCAGCAAGTAACACAGTGCAGAGGTCAGTAAGTAACGCAGTGCAGAGGTCAGCATGTAACGCAGTGCAGCGGTCAGTACGTAATGCAGTGCAGCGGTCAGTACGTAACACAGTGCAGAGGTCACTATGTAATGCAGTGCATC